CTGCTGTATAAACCATTCTGGCCTTGAACTCGCAGAGATCTTCCTGCCTCTGTCTCCTGAGTGCTGGGATTAAAGGCATGTGCCACCACATTGGGCCTGTTCGCATTGTATATTCTTAAGTAATTAATGCTTACAATACACAAAATAACTTACAATTCACACAGGGATGTGCATTAATATTTTTATAGTTTGCGGCCATCTCTGATTTTCTATTTTTGTGTCTGTTTTGTTTTCCTGGCTTCTATACCCTACTACACAGGTACCTGCATTTTGGCTATGAAATACCAAAGCTCAAACTGTTTGAGTTGAATGGATGAAGAAATATTGCATATTAAATCTTATTTCTCTGATGGAGTATCATCCTTAATTCTGTCATTTTTGGAGAACAGTGGGGGAATCACAGCCATCTCGAATCTTAAGCTCCGTTTTGATGATCTTTTCAAAGGTAAAAGTAGAGTTAGGGTAATCTTTCAAAATTCCATGGCTGCTTTATGAGTGGAACTTTACCTCAGTGGAGTAAAATCTACTCATCTCCCAGGGTCCATAAAAAATAACAGTGTGATCTATTCTGGAAATTAGGTTTAGGGAGATTCAAACATGGTTATCCTTGCAATCTCAGTTACCAGAAGGCAAACCAGAAGGTCTGGACTCTTCCGAGCTTTGCCCGAAAAGCCACTGCAAACTCCTTTTATTGTGATGGTCTCTCATCACTGACTTGACTGCAGAGGAGCGCCATCTGTTTCACTATCACCTTTTCAGGCTATTGTGAGCAAGAGGAGTAAGTTCTTTACAGTTGTCTGCCTCTACCCTCCATGGAGATGGTAGAGGATACTGGAAAACCGGACATCCATCTTCCACTTTAATTTTGGGGTGAATAATTAGTCTCGTTCATCTCACTTTGACTAAGAAGCTCTGAAAGTGTATTGATAGCTGAATTATCAAAAAATCTGTCTAGTCAGGGGAAAAAAATTAACTCTTCTCTGCATGACATTTTGCTTCCCATAAAATTGAGCAGCTGTTTCCTTAACAGTGATCTCATGAGTGTGAAATGTTTCTCGTCCTTTCTCTGACTAAAATATGCCATATACTGCACTGTATTTTAAATTTTCCTCCTCTTTGTTTGGCTCATTATCACTCAGCTCAAAGATGTGGCTGATCATTTGGATCAACTTTTTTTGGTATTTTACCTTCTTCAAGTGACTCTTCCCCAGTGCCAGGATCATTGGTGCTGCACACACAGACTTGGGCAGCACAACGGCAGCATCCAATCCCTGTCTTCTTTTCCTTGAGGAATTCAGGGGACCAAGGTCTGCTGGCAGGAGACTGACCTTGATCTCAGGAGCTTGATGTCCATACCACAACATGGAATTTCTGTGAATTCTGGAGATACTAACTCAGCTTCTCATGCTTGCATGGCAAGTGTTTTACCCACCAAGCCACCCCCCCCCAATTCTTACTGCTGCATTCTGGAGTTTCTAATCAAACCTTCTCATTAAGGGAAATGGGAATTTTTTTGAACTAGTCAACGTTCTTCTAAGGTTCTATCCAAAATGTTCAATGCACAAATACAAAAAGGCACAAGTATAGGGTCTTTCCTTAAACAAATCTTAACACTAGAAGACTAAAAATAATATAAATATTCACCAGTGAGGGGAGTCATGGAATAATCCAATGTATATCTACATCCTAAAATATGAGGCAGGTGTAGTAAGCTGGGAGGATTACCCTTTTCTACTACAATTAATGATCCTCAGCATATGTTACTAAGTGAAGATACCAAGGTATGAAAAATGTGAGGGCAACTGGCAACTAATGTAGCACTGGCTGGTGATATGTTGCTATTTAAGTTTAAGATGAAATAAATTTTCTTTTTCCTATTTTACACATCATATTTTCATGTGTTAATATTCTATGTCCAAACTGCAAAGAAACTTAGATGAAAAGAAAAAAAAAATAAGATTTGTGCTCGACTTGAGAGGATCATACATTAATAAGTCTTTTTTTTTGAAAGTGAAACCATTTCAAAAGAAAGTGTTTATCTGAACATTTCTTTGCATACCATAGTTTAGCAGAGTTGATGAGTGGAATTTTCTGTAACAGAAGGATCTTGGACAGTAAGTGCAAAAATGTTTATAAAATTACAGTATTACTTCACTTAGTATAACAGTTTCTAGTTCCATTCATTTACCTGCAAATTTTATGATTTTATCTTTCTTTACCACTGAGTAGAAACTCATTGTGTAAATATACCACATTTCATTATCCACTCATCAGTTGGAAAACCCTTATAGATTCAATGCAATGCCAATCAAAACCCCCATGACATTCTTCACAGAATTGGAAAAAAAATCCTAAGATTCATATGGAAGCACAAAAGACCCCAGATAGCCAAAGCAACCCTGAGCACTAAGAGCAATGCTGGGGGTATTATTATACCAGATTTTAAACTATACTACATGCCCAGGAGTTACACACCCTAGAGGTGAATGGCCAGGAGATGGTTGCCCAGATCAAGGCCCATGTAACTTCACTGGAGGGTATCACCTCAGATCAGTCATGTTTCTGGCATGCACCACTGGAGGCTGAGGTCAACCCAGGAAAGTGTGTGGTCGAGGCTCTGACCACTCTGGAAGTCGCTGGTTGCATGTTGGGAGGTAAAGCCCATGGTTCCTTGACCTATTCTGGAAAAGTGAAAGGTCAGTGGTTGCAGAGGACCCAGGTTCAATTCCCAGCACCCACATGGGGGAAATCGTCTAACCTTTCCAGAAATCAGCAATAAGAAGTAAATGTAGGCGATGGGGAGATGGCTTAGTGGATAAAGCACTTGCTGTGAAAGTGTGGGGATGAGGTAGCACAAGCATTCCTACCATGAGATGGAAGGTGGAGACAAGACAATCCCCAGAAGCTTAAGAGCCATCAAGCAAACAAGAGACCCTATCCAAAACAAAGTGAAAGGTGGGACCAACACCTGAGGTGCAGGCCCTACCTATCTCATTCTTTTGATTCCATGTGCGTTCTGATTTCTTAATTTTTCACTAGTGTGACATGAGTGAAGAGATTTCTTACTCATCCTCAGGAGAAACAAATATCGCAAAGGAGTAAAGAATAATAACAAGACATTTAGACAGGAAATGGTAGACACTAAGCCCTTATCCTAGTTCTCAGCACTATCTACAGACCTCAGGACATTGAGTGACTTCTTTCCTTTTGTTGTACTCTGATCTGACACAGACAGCACTCAGTATGGAAACAATGCTTAGGGCCATGGATTTGGGGGTGAGATGATCTGGATTTTACCCAGAGAGGAATTACATTATGGAGGTATGATCTAGAGAAAACTGTTTGTCATACGTCTTGTAACTAATGGTCTCTTTTAATACTGATTATTATTATTATTATTATCATCATTATTTATTGTGCCACCTATCCAAAATGTGAATTATAGAAGGTGGCATCACATTGTCAGATACAATTCTCTACAATATAGCTGCTAGATTAAATGGTTAACATAGAGATTAATGTGTATTGAAAACTCAAGCACATTCAGGCATAGGATATTACTTAGTATGCTACAGATGTGGTGTTTCTAATTAGATGCACTGTTCCAACAGGGCTTAGTCAGTAAAGGTTCATGAAAAGTTAGGGCTAGGGATATATCTCAGTGGGTAACACACTTGCAGTACAAGCATGAGGACCTGAATTCAGGCCCCCAGCACCTACATAAATGCTGGGAGGGCATGGTGGCATACTTTATAATCCTAACATTCAGGTGGCATGGACAGAGGATTCCTGGGCCAAACTGGTTGGCTAGACTAGCCAAATCAGTGAGCGCTGGGTCCAGCGAGAGACCCTGCCTCAATACATAAGGTGAAGAGCAATCAAGGAAGATAGCCAGCATCAGCTTCTGGCCTACACACACACACACACACACACACACACACACACACAAATGCATACTCACCCACATACACGCAAACGTGTATTCATGAATACCACACATGCATATACCTGCTGAAAAGGCATAATTAGATCATAGCTTATACCGTGTCATTTAATCAGAATGCTTCCACTATGTGTTAGTACTCAGTACAAAAAATTAGATGAGGGGCCTGGAGAGATGGCTCAGCGGTTAAGAGCACTGTCTTCTCTTGCAGAGGACTCAGGTTCGATTCCCAGCACCCACATGGTGGGTACAAACCGTCCTTAACTCCAGGTCCAGGGGAATCTGAAATCCTCTTCTGATCTCCATGGCATTGCATGACACGGGTGCACTCAAATACATGCAGACAATACACTCATACACATAAAACAAAATTAATAAATAAAATATTTTTTAAAATAGACGAGGGGGCTGGAGAGATGGCTCAGTGGTTAAGAACACTGGTTGCTCTTGCAGAGGACCCAGATTCAGTCTCCAACATCCACTCAGTGGCTAACAACCATCTTTACCTCCAGTTTCAGAGGATTTGATGCCCTCATCTGATCCCCATGGGTACTGTATGACACGGGTGTACTAACATGCATGCAGCCAATACACTCACACACATAAAATAAAACTAATGAAAATAAAAATATTTTTTAAAATCAGATGAGGATCTATTGGCAACTGATAGATGCTGAGAGAGGGAGAGTCCATTTTCCTAACTGGTGTCATGCTTGGTAGGTTGACCAGACTCCAAGACGTAGACTCATGCCCAAGAGCACTAGGGAAACACAGATCAGACTCTATAGGCCTTGAATATATGAAGTCGGTGGGGGTAGTAAGGTGGGGGTGAAGAGGAGGGAGGGGCAGTTTCTTAATTCATGATTAATGTAGGAGAGCTCAGCCCACTGCTGGCAGTGTCATTTCTGGGAAGGGGGGTCTGAGCTATATAAGACAGCCCACTATCAGCAGTGTCATCCCTGGGAAGGGGGGTAGGTCTGGGCTGTATTAAAGATGGCTGAATGTGAGCCTGAGAGAAAGCCAGTAAGCACTGCTTCTCCATAGTCTGTGCCTCAGTTTCTGCCTCCAGATTCCTGCTGAGTTCCTGCACTGACTTCCCTCATGGATGGATGATGCACTGTGGTTGAGACATATAATCTGAATACACCCTTTCCTCCCACAAGTTGGTTTTGGTAAAGGCATTTATTCCAGCAAGAGGCATGAAACTACGACAGCAAGACTACAGCCAAGAGTTCTGAAGGGAGAGTGCCTGCACTGTGGAACTCCTGTTTTCCCTTTCAAGCTTCCTGATCAGGTAAGTTAATGCCATCACAAAAAAGTGAGTATGCAAAGAAGCTAGATGTGTTCTGGTCATGGACGATTTTTACCATGGGAGAAAATATCTGCAACGGAAGAATTCCCAAGATAATCTGATCAAATAAGTTCAGTTCAGCCCAGCTTTTTTGAAATAATTCTGAGATTCCTTAAATGACATTTTGATGTTGTCAGGCCACTGAGTCAATGGGTTAGAGGCAGCCCATTCTTTTTAACTGCCACATATGGCAAAGTGCATCTGGTCACATTCTCCATCAGAGGGCTAGTTCCTCTCCAAGATCCCTGGGTGAAACCCCTGGATCTCTCTGACTATAAAAGCCCCCTATATTCACAGTTATAGTAAACAAAATTCCTGGCCACAGAAACATGTTTTATTGCCACAAGCTTAGCATTTCTGACAATTGTCTCCATCCCCTTCTAGATGGTGGCATGCTAAGTGAAGGTGCTTTTCTTTCAGAGAAAGGGGGAAAGGGGAGAGTTGTGTGCAAACAGTTCCAAGTGTGGAAGATGTTTGTGCATCGCAGTTTTTACCACAATAACCTGACATAACCAAGGTAATTGACTTTTTAGTTAGATTGGTGTCATCCATGTAGAACAGGGTTCTGCATCCAGGAATATGTTTTGCGCCCACAACCTGCAGAGTTCTACTAATAGAATGTATCCTGGCATACTTACTATAATGATTATGCTTTCTTGGTTACCTGAAGAAGTTTTACTTCCAGGTACAGGCAAAGGCATGGAAATATGGAGTGTGGAGACATCTTAAATTTGTCAAACAGCTGGAGCATCACTATTGCCCCAGAAACCTGATGTCATTAGGGCAACTGTGATTTTTCTTTTAATGGAGACAAAGGTAATCTCTTTGATGAGTACAGTTCTGCCACTAAGATTATGCTAGGTGAGGGAGAGTTGGTCATCTTTAAGGGAGTGACACTAGATAGGCTGATCAGGCTCCAGGAAACAAATGCATATCGCATATCGAGGGGCATTTAGGTAAACAAACTTGAATCCATAGGCCTTAACAGATATGACAGGATGCTTGAAATCCTGTGGTCGGGCTACGGGGGCGGGGTGCAGATAGGGGAGAGGTCTAAATATGATTAAGATCTATTGTATGAAATACACAAAAATTCAGTAAAAATATACATTTAACAACAACAAAATTTATGTGTTTTCATTCTGCCAATGGCCTGCATTCCGACCCACTTACTTTAATGAGTATGCTTTGTCATGTGGTATCTAGGGTGAATGGTGGTTTGTTTTCAGAAATAAGAAAAGGCTTGGAAGGGAGAGCTACACAAAGGCATTTCCTGTTTGAAGAAGACCTAGCAAATCATCCTGGTTGCCATAGAAACCTGAAGTGTTTGTGGCAGTCATGAGGGCGTTTTGACCCAGACCAGAATGTTCTGCTTAGAAGAGCAGAATCTCGCCTTTTAGTGTGGATACCACAAGGTGGGGGCTGAACCTCCCTGTGGGGGAGCGAGACACAGAGAGACGGGGACAGACAGAGCGACAGAGACAGAGACACAGAAAACACAGAGAGATACAAAGAGAGAGACAGAGATGGGGGAGAAAGTGGGGAGGAGGGAGGGAGGGAGGGGAGAGAGAGAGAGAGAGAGAGAGAGAGAGAGACTAGATCCCAGATCCCAGATCCTCCCAGATCCCAGATCCTCCCAGATCCCAAACACCATCTCTTATCACGCAACTGCACTTATTCCAGTTTCAGGACTTGACATCAGAATGTCTCAAGCGTGATAGAAATGTTGGATCGTGGCCCCAAGGAAATGTGCTGTCCTGGATTCACTTTCCATGTTGAGGTGAGGCTTTTGTGGAAGATCCGCAGGGAAGGTCTCTTTGAGCCCAGCTTCCCGCCTATAAAATGAGGGGCCACCCACAAGATCGCTGGTATTCTGTGATAACACCTGCTTAAATAGTAGTCAGTGATTCCAGTATATATCTCAGATGTATGTTGAAGTACACAATTGGCTGAAAGGCCTTTCTAGAAATTTGAAGTTTCAATTTTTTATTCTTCTATGATGTCATCTTTTTACTGGTATTGTACTGATTTTTAAGAAGCTAGAAATTTATCAAATATTAGCTAAAGTTCTTAAAATGTCAGGTACAAAATTCAGTAGTATCAAAAATAATACAACATACTTTGTTATATTAAAATTATACCCAGGTATGTTTTCCAAAGTAAACCGCTGGAACTCAATATATGATAATTATTTTCCAGAATATGGCCTTTTTCTTTGGTCTTTTTGAGACATGGTCTCCCTGTAGTTTCAGCTGGCCTGGAACTCACTATGTAGACCAGGCTGACCTTGAACTCACAGAAATCCTCTTGCCTCTGCCTCCGGAATGCTAGGATTAAAGGTGTGAGCCACCATGCCCAGCTAGGACGTGACATTTTTGCTTGTGTACCTAGTCTCACTATGTGTCCTAAAAGCCTTCCCTAGACAAGTGTAGTATATCCATTAGTATATTATTTCCCAGAATCATGGAGGATTTTTTTTCTTTTTTTTTTTTTGGATTTTGGCTTTTTTATTTGGATTATGTCACTCACCATCTTTTTACCATGTAGTTGCATATATCAATGGTTCTTATTTACTTATTTTGAACCAAAGACCTTCAACTTGTTTGGGAAACAGTCTCCTGTTGAGCTACATTACTAAGTCTGTTCATTTTCCCACCGCTCTCCTTGAGACAGGATCTTACTTTGTACACTGTGCTAGCCCGGGACAAATAGAATCCCCTGATTCACCTTACCAATTGCTGGTTTTACATGCTTGTGACACCATATTTGCTTCTGGTTCATTCTTTTATTATTGAATAACATTCAGGGTATACCACAATTTGTTTTTGGATCTTTGGATTGTTTCCAATTGTTAGTAAAGCTGCTATGAGCATCTATAGATAATAAGTCTTTTCATGTAGATATGCATTTCCTCCATCCTAGTTTCTTTTTCTCTGCTATGACAAAATACTTTAACAAATGCAATTTAGGGAAGAACGGGTTTCTTTGAGTCATAATTCCAGGTTACAGTTCACCATTTCAGGAAAGTCAAGGCAGGAGGAATTTGAAACAGCTAGTCACAACCACAGTCAAGGAGAGAGAATTAATACATGCATGTTTGTGCTCAGCTCACTTTCCCATTTTTATACAGTCCAGGACCCAATTCCAGGGAATGGTCACATCTGCTTTTAGGCTGGACCTTCTCATATCTATCAAGATAATTAGGACAATCCCTCACAGGATGTCCACAGGCTAACCTAAGCAATCACTCATTGACTCTCTTTCCAGGTGAATCCAGATTGTGTCAAGTTGACAATAAAGTTAAACAGCACACTCCCCAGATTAAATGTAGTATTTAAAATATGATGGCTAGATAATACCAGTTTTCACTGCCACCAGTACTATGCAAGGCTTATCTTCTACAGTTTTGGTTAATCTTTTTTTTTTAATTTTGGCCATCCTATGGGACTGTACTAGCCTTATTTTAGTTTTCATACTTTTCACTAATGATTAAAGATGTTGACTATTTTTTCATGTATTTAGCTCACATTTGCTTATTTTTGGTGTAATATCTATTCAATTATTTACCCCATTCCTGTTGTGAAGTTTCTATTTTCTTATTGATTTTTCTGAGTTTCTGTGTATTGGACACAAATTACGTGATGTATCATTTTAAAATATTTCTTCTAGTTCTAGTTTCTTGTCATTTTATCAACCTTGCATTGGGAACAACTGAAGCTTATCAACACTGAGGAATTCCACTGTTGCAGTTTTCATTTGCAGATTGTGGCTTAGGTGTCACATCTATGGAAGCTTTGCCTAATTCCAGTCCCAAGGATTTTCTTCTGTGCTTTCTGCTAGAAGATGTATAAGTTTAGTGTTTATATTTACACACTGGATCAAATTTGAGTTGAATTTTTATGATACAATAAAGTAGTCATACTTTATATTTGTGTGTATGGATATTAACTTGCCCATGAACAATTTGTTATATATTGTCTTTCTTCTACTGAACTGCTTTTATGTTTGTCAAACATCAGTTATCCAAGGAGGAAGGCAAGGTGGTACATGCCCATCATCTCAAAACTTTGGAAAATATGGCAAGAAGATCATAAATTTGGAACAATCTTGTCTATACAGGAAATTTGAGACCAGTTATTTCTGCAAAGGAAAATTGTGTTTCAAAGAAAATCAGTTGTTCATATATATTTAGTGTATTCTGGATTCTTTATTTTGTTCCTTTAATATAACATATTTGGCCATTTATTTGGTTCTTTGAACTTGCCTTGAACTCGCTACATAATTGATGATGATCTTGAACTCCTGATTCTCCTGCCTCCACCTGTCCAGTGCAAGGATTATGAGTGTGTGCCGCCATGCCTGGATAATTGCCTTGGTGACAATAACATACTCTCTTGACTACTGTAGGCCCATAATGAATTTTTGCATCAGGAAGTCTTGGTAGCTAACTTTGCTGTTATTCTGAGTTTTATTTTGTAGTCTTGGTCCTCTTTATTTTCCTATGAATGTTTAAATAGGCTTACTAATTTCTTTTAAAAACTGGAAGGACTTTGGAGGGATCACAGTGAATCTATACATCAAAATTAAAGGTATAAAAACCATAACAGTAGTGTCTTCTGACACGTGAAGTACGGTATCTTCTATTTATTCTTTCAGCAAATGTTTTCTGGTATAGACATTGCATATGTATGTCTTTCATTACTCATAAATATTTCATGATTTGATATTGTAGTACATGACTTATTTTTAAAAGAAACTGCAATTATTATATTTTCAAAGAACTATCTACAACCAAATGTTTAATAATGCTTGTAAAAAATTTAACTGGGTGGAATTAGAATGAAAAAGGTGTTTGGTATTTTCATGTTTTACCCATGTTTCCGTTTAAGCTTTAAGAAGTCATTGGTAGTATATTGAAACTTGGAGGAGAAAAATCCCAAAGACAATTCTACAAGTCATCTTCAGAAAAGTCACACTAAAAGTACAGAGATTAGTACCTTCTATGTGCTTAAAAATGAATGTGTTAAAATGTGTGATTTTAGTTCTTTATACCCAATAACTATACCCTAATAAATGCTTGGAATCTTTTTGGTAAGGGGTAGGGGATAAAGCATGTATGGAGGTGGGTATGTTCCTGAGGCTTCTAGGAATGTTTATTGTCCACAACATCATTCATATTTCAGATCCTAGCATAGAATAGCAAAAGCATTGTTTTGGTAGTTGTTTTTTTTTCCAGCATTGCTTAACCAGCATGGTTACCATAGTGACTAATGACTTCTCTGGGAGTTGGTGCAGAGTGAGCAGTCATTTATGATATTTATTTGAATCGCCTTCAAAAATTATAGATCTTTTACTACTTCTTGAAGTATTAGTTGATATTTAAGTATAGAGCTTTCTTGCTTCCTATATTATTTATGTACTGATTTATGTCAGTATAGCTAGAAAGTTCCATTTTCTTAAAATATTGGCATCTGTTATTATCATTACGTATTTTGGTGTTCAATATGTCACAGAAGAGACCAATGGAAGCCCCTGAAAGTGGCCTCATTGTCAATTTGAGGCATTCCTAGAATTCCTTGAGCATATATTAATACTTTGCTCTGTGAGGCTGGCCATCTGCCCTTTACAAAAAGGAAATAATGATGCCCACCTCAAAGCATCACACTGAGGACTTCAAAAGTCAGAAAATAAAAGTCCAAAGTAGGGGCTGGAGAGATGGCTCAGCTATAAAAATCACTGGCTGCTCTTGCAGAGGATCCAGGCTTGGCTCCTGGCATCCACATGGCAGCTCACAACCATCAGTAACTCCAGTTTCAGGGGATCTATTGCCCTCTCTGGCCTCTATGCACATTGCATGCATACGTGTACTCACATGCAAGCAAAATACTCAAATATATAAAAATAAATTTAAAAATTTTTAAATTTATTTTTATTTTTATGTGTATGCATGTATTGCCTGCATGTAGGTAAGTGCACCTGTGTCGTGCAATGCCTGCAGAGGACAGAAGAGGCCATTGGATCCCCTGGAACAGGAGTTACAGACAACTGTTACCTGTCATGTGGGTGTTGGGATTCAAATCCGGGTAAAAATAAATTTTTAAAAATCTAAACTATGTGGTATCCAGTATGCCTTCAGAAAATGTGAGTTCCTTATCCCTATGATACCTTCTTCATTCTGTTAATGTAATGCTTCTGACACTAATATTGTGGCATGTCTATACAGAGACTACTAGGAAAAGTCACAACAAACAGGGATAAACATACATTTCCATTATGTGTGAGCTTCAGTAACACTGCTGTGGGGAGAGGTATGAGATGAACTAAGGAAGAGAAAAAGTGTCATTGTAAAACTTCCAGTTATGGAATATGGACTGGTAGGACGTCACTAGTCTGTAGCTTGCATTTCTGATGTTTTCTCATCCTGTTTTCCCTTCTATTCCATGCTCTTTCTTTCCCCTTACTATGCCTTCTAGTGTAACATTTGCACTCTGAAAACAGGAGCTTAGGGGCTTGAGAGATGGCTCAGTAATTAAGAGCACTGTCTTCTTTTGCAGAGGACCCAGGTTCTATTCCCAGCATCCACGTGGTGGCAAACAGCCATCCCTAACTCCAGTTCCAGGGGATTGGATGTCTTCTTTTGACAGTCACAGGCATTTCATGACACAGGTGCACTTACATACATGCAGGCAATACACTCATACACATAATAATAATAACAATAATAATAAAATAATAAAATAATAATAATAATAAATAATGATAAAAAAACAAGAGCTTGTAGAAGAGAATCAGGAGAGAATCAGGTATGGTGTGGAATCTTCTGGATAAGTGTGCTAGTAAGTTTTTTGTCAACTTGACACAAACTAAAGTCACCTAGGAAAAGAGACTCTCAAGTGAGGAATTTTCTCTATCGGATTGGCCTGTCGCCATATCTGTGAGGTATTTTCTTTATTTCTTGTTAATATAAGATGGCCAAACCCACTCTGGGCAGTGTCTATCCTGAACAAGTGGATCTGGGCTGTATAAGAAAGATAGCTGAGGAAGCCAGGGTGAAGCAAGCCACTAAGCAGTACTCTTCCAGGGTCTGTGTTTCAGTTTCTGCCTCTTGGTTCCTGACTTGAGTTCCTGAACTTACTTCCCCAAGTGATAGATTGTGACCTGGGAGCTGTAAGAGGAAGTAAACCCTTTCCTCCCCAAGTTGTTCTTGTTCAGTGTTGTATTCTTATTAAAAATATTAAATTATTTCTTTTAGAATAGTCTTTTAAATTTTTTTATTATCTTTATTTTTATGTGTATGAGTGTGTTGCCTGCATGTCTGTAAGTACATCCATGTTCTGCAATGCCTGTGGAGATCAGAAGAGGGCATCAGATCCCTTGGAACTGGAGTTATGGATGGTTGTTCGCCACCATGAGGGGACTGGAATTGATCCCAGGTCCTCTGCAAAAGCAGCCAGTGCTCTTAACACCTGATCCATTTATCCAGCTCCCTAGGCAGTGTTTTATCACAGCAACAGAAAGCAAACTAGGACCAAAGGTTCTTGGCACAAGAATGAACAGATTATGGGACACTATAGGCAAATCAGTTGCCCTCTGCAACCCTTCTCTATTCAAAAGAACAGAAACACTACATCTTTAAAATCATGTGGAATATTGTGCAATTAAATGTGATCCCATATGGGAAGGTACCCTGTGGTCTCAGGAGGAGAGAAAGTACTTTGGATTGATTACATTAATAGATGCTTCAGATGTCGTAGAACCCTGCATGATAGACATTACATTAGTGATACTCAAATATAGCACGTGCCTCCATTCCCGCCTTTTTCTAGTAGCGTGAATAAAGTTCCTTTGTCATCATCATTTATACTGAGAGTCTTCAACACATGTACTTCACATATATTGAGGACGACATCCATCTTGCTATTCTTGCTTCAACCATCACACAGAATTTGGGAATCTTTAAGGGAAAAGGAAATTTATTCTATTTAATCACATTTCTTATCTGTTATACTTTCTTCCTCTTAAATGATGCTGAAGTCCCTCTTCTACCAATTTTCTTCTGTTTTATGAAATTCCTTTAAGCCCTTTTCAAGAGTATGTGTCATGTTGATACATTCTTATGTTTTGTCTTTGGATAATATATTTTTATTCTCTTTAAATCCTACACGATAATTTATGTGGATATACAAATTCAATGTAAAAATATTATCTCCGTGAGATTAAGGCAAACCTGGTCTACATATTGAGTTTCAGGCTACCTGGGGCTAAGCAGGACCCTAACCCCCCCACAAAAGAAAGAAAAAAAATCAGTGTTGACAGTTACTTTAACAGTTGGAAAAATATTATTTCACTTCCTCCTGGACTACATGATTTATGGTTAAAACATTTTTATTGTACCATCATTCTCCTATCAGAAATATATTTTTCTCTCATCCTGATTTCAGTATTTTTTCCTTCTTTCTACTTTAACCTTAACTGTTCTTTCCATCCATGTTCTATTATTTTACATGGTCATCAATTTTATGGTTATTTGAATTGAATGCTTAGTACATTTCAATTGTATTATATATGTATTTAATGCATAAAATATTTGAGCTGCTCTAGCTTTAGTTCCTAAGATGTTTTTCATCATCATTCTTATCAAATTTATATTTTGTGTTTGCCTTTGTGTCCAAGATTTAAGAACCTCATGTGACATCATGAATGTTCCATGTTCATCTGGAAAAGAAGTATGTGAACTTATATGAGGGCTCAGAATTTCAGATGGCTGACTATAAGAACTTGAGGTTAGATTGTGCAGGCCTTTTTGGTGCATATTTTAAGTCTTCAAGCTAATATTTTAATGCCTTTGTATTATATTTTTTTCTTGAAAAACAATACTTTTATATTCTATTGCAATAGGTGATATGAAAATCTCTCTTTAAATTGATAAGTGATATCCATTTATGTTTTAACATTTATTTAATGTGTGTGTGCATGTGTGCATATGTGTATGCAGGTGCCACAGTACACATGTGGAGGTGAGAAGACAACTTGCTCG